CCTGGCCTTGAACACTGCCAGGGATGGGGCAGCCACAGCTTCTCTGGGCAACCTGTGCCAGTGCCTCACCACCCTCAGAGGGAAGAATTTCTCCCTCAGATCCCATCAAAATCTCCCCTCTTTCAGGTTAAAGCCATCGCCCCATGTCCTGTCACTCCACACCCGTGTCCAAAGCCCCTCTCCAGCTTTCCTGTAGCCCCTTTAGGCACTGGAAGGTGCTGGAAGGTCTCCCCGGAGCCTTCTCTTCTCCAGGCTGAACAGCCCCAACTCTCCCAGCCTGTCTCCAGAGCAGAGGTGCTCCAGCCCTCCCATCATCTCCGTGGCCTCCTCTGGCCCCGCTCCAGCAGCTCCATGTCCTTCTTGTGTTGGGGCCCCCAGAGCTGAAGGCAGCACTGCAGGGGGGTCTCCCGAGAGCAGAGCAGAGGGGCAGAATCCCCTCCCTCGCCCTGCTGCCCACGCTGCTCTGGGTGCAGCCCAGGACACGGTTGGCTTTCTGGGCTGCCAGCGCACGGTGCCGGCTCATGTTGAGCTTCTCATCCACCAACACCCCCAAGTCCTTCTCCTCAGGGCTGCTCTCCATCCCTTCTCCGCTCAGCCTGGACTTGTGCTTGGGTGCCCCTGACCCACGTGCAGGACCTTGCACTTGGCCTTGTTGAATTTCATGAGGTTCTCCCAGGCCCACCTCTGCAGCCTGTCCAGGTCCCTCTGGATGCCATCCCTTCCCTCCAGCGTGTCCACAACACCACACAGTTGGTGTCACCAGCAAACATGCTGAGGGTGCCCTCGGTCCCACTGTCCATGTTACCAACAAAGATGTTAAACAGCACCGGCCCCAACACCGGCCCCTGAGGAATTCCACTTGTCACTGGTCTCCACTGGAACGTCAAGCTGTTGACCACAGGTCTCTGAGCGAGACCATCCAGCCAAATGTCCCTTTTCCTCACTTTTCCTCATTCTGTTCTCAGATCTTTAAATCAGTTTAAGCTACTTTTTCCTTTCTGTGTCCGACAGAAAGTGTCCTCTTTCCTGCAGATTGCCCTGGGCTTTTGCCCAGTTGTTACTGAGCTGCAGAACTTCTCCTGTAGCTCTTGATCCATCACTCCCAATGCCAAAAAGGACCATTCTGGTCATAATTTGACCTGCTGCATTAACACTGATTTCCTGAGTTCCTGTTGTGAGGTAGCTGGGGTTGAATTGATCTTTCTAAGAGACAGTGATACCAAAACTGCCAGTGATGCAAAACCTCCTGTAATTGTCCATAAGTTTTTTCATGGATTATAAACTTTGCCGTTAAGCTTTATTCCTGGTGTGGTACACTTCATCCACTAACGTTGTACCGTAGCAGCGCTTTCGTTTGCCTGCTGAATTAAAAACCCTTTGCTTATCAACTGCTTTTTTCACCTGTAGGTATGCAGAAACGTAAAATTTGGGAATAGAGAGGGCCCTGTTGCTAGAATGATATTTCTTCTTTTTGCAGGCAGTGACATCCCATCTTCTGTTTATAGGAAAATTGAGTTGTCTTTAATTGGTTGCTTTTTGCTGCTGCTCTGGAAACTCCCTGTAGGGCCTTTTTCATCTTGTGCTTGAATGTGTGCGGGACAGGATTTAGTTTTTCCCGTTGTGTGCCTTAATTTCGATAGGTCTGTGTTATCTGCCACCTTTACTTCTCCTGCTTAATTCATGAAAGTGTTATCCCTCACAAAAGAAGAGCTGGGTGAAGCATCCAGTCTCCTCTCACAAAATAGGAAGGAAGAAAGAGTAATTTTTTCTGCCTGTTGCCATTTCAGTCAACCTCTTTGCATGTAGACGAACCGACTTCAGCACAGCATTGTGGTGGGATGGTGGTGGGATGCTGTCCCTTCTCCAGAGGTCTCTTGTGGTCTGGTTTTACAGCTGTCTGTACCAGTCATCACCCTCATGCTCTCACTGCAATTACAGAATCACAGACTCCCAGAATGTCAGGGATTGGAAGGGACCTCAAAGGATCATCTACTCCAATCCCCCTGCCGGAGCAGGACCACCTAGATCAGATCACACAAGATGTTCCAGGTTTGGAACATCTCCAGAGAAGGAGACTCCACAACCTCTCTGGGCAACCTGTTCCAGTGTTCTGGTACCCTTACTGGGAAGAAGTTCTTCCTCATGTTTAAGTGGAAGCTCCTGTGTTCCAGCTTAGATCCATTTCCCCTTGTCCTATCGTTGGATGCCACTGAGAAGAGCCTGGCTCCACCCTCATGACAGTGATTAGCTGATTTCACGACTAAAACTGGGTTTAAGAAGATGAAGAGATGGGCTGGATTCTGTGAAACTGCCCCTAACGTGTGCTAGGTCAGGAGCTAGTCTTGCAATTTCTCTCAAATTCATCGGTATTCACCCAGAAGGAATATCTGAGCAGGGAAGCCAGAGTCAGGGTTGTATGAACGTGCCCCAGCCCAGGCGCCGAGGCACGAGTTGCTGTGTTTGTGTTCAAGGCTCCCGCGTTTAAATAGTGAACCGAAGCGTTGTCCCGAGGCCAGGGCTACCTTGCTGAGCAGCACTCAGGTCATAGAATCATGGAACGGTTTGGGTTGGAAGGGACCTCAAAGATCATCCATTTCCAACCCCCCTGCCATGGGCAGGGTCGTTCAGAATTGCCCTGCCCCGGGATCATATCACATACCATCTTCTTTTTGGCTTATTTACGACTTAAGGCGGATGCAGCGCTGTGTTTATCAGGCAATTTAAATCACTGTTAGTTTTGTCACTATTTTTTTGGCAGCTGCACTTAGTAGTGACTTGTTCCTTGTCCATGTGAAAGCACGGGGTTTTGCCAGGCTAAGGAGCAGTCTCTTTGGGTCTCTTGAGGAAAAAACTAGTGTCATCATTTCCTTTCTGATGCGTGTTCTGAGACCTGCCTTTTACCTAATCATGTGCCTTCCCGATTTTACGTTAATCTGGTTTCATTATTAAAATTGCACACATCAGGCAAGGCGAAATGACTGTCACGAGGCTGTGTGTGTCAACAAAGGTACTTCTGCTGCTCCCACTTCTCCTACAAATGAGTTTGTTCTACTAAACAGTATTAATTGACATTAAATTTTGTAGTTTCAGCTGTTTGGTTCCTTTATTTCAGATGTGTGCACCGTTGTTTGTTCCATGTTTAACTGAATAGCCGCTGGAATTTGAGTGGCATGTGCTGTTAGATGAACTTGGGTGATCACTCTGGTTCTCTCAAACTATCCCTGATTTCGAATTACGTTTCGTGAGAATCTCGAATGTATGTTATCTGGATTTACCGAAGACTTGCTTTATTGCTGGTGGGTCACCAGGGGTGACTGCTGCCAGATGACACAACATATAGTGATGGAAACAATATCATGCGGTTTTGAGAAATTCTGTTTATAATTGGGGTTACCAGGGAGTTTTATAATGCTTCCTTTCTCCAGCTCAGTATTTCTCCCAGTTCTGAGCCAAGGTTTGGGGCACAGCTTGCTAAATATGAGTCTCTGTTTGCAGCTTGAGCTGGGTGAGATCCAGCTTTTTCTTTTTTTTTTTTCCTCCTTCCCCTCCGGCCCTCACCTTTCCCTTCTGGAACGCCAGCCCCCATTAACCCTCGGATGGGTCAGGAAGGCTTTGCTTGGACTCTGTGGTCGGGAAACATTCTCGGACTGTTAATCCCAAAACTCCCAAGCGGTACACGTGGCGGGCGTTCCGAGTGCGTTTTCGTTTTGAACAGCAGGCTTTGAGCAAGAGCTGGTAGAAGGCATCAGTAATGTGCTTTTCACACGTGGAAAATGTGAAATGCGTTTATAGACTGTCTCATGTATCACATATTTATCTCCCTTATCATTTATGGGTGTATATATGGAAATGGGAAAGCTAAAGCCTTGTAAAGAATCTGTTTGCCTTTTTCTACAGTTGGCTTTTGCAGTTTAAATACAGCTTTGCCTTCAGCTTTCTTCTGCAACAGGAACGCTGTGCGACCTGGTTATAAAAGGAAACTGGAGTTGTTGGGGTTTTTTTTAACAATTCCTTCTAATATCTGTGCAGAGATTTCTCTGCAAGCTCTCCCTAGCCCGGGGTGGAACTGCTGCGCCGAGAAAGCGTATGGCTTAGTGGTGTGGTGCTGCCTGTGATGGGAATGTGCTTAACTGGATACGTCGCTTCTTGTTTACTTGAGCGAAAAACACTTTAATGGCAAAGGCGTGCAAGAGTCATCTCACTGTTGGTTTTTTTTTTGTGGGTTGTTCCAGGTAAAAGCCTCCTGTGTGTGTTTTGGTGACAGCTTTTTGGATGACCTGCGGCTGACTCGGCACAACGTACCCTTGCTCCCTCATTTGCATTTCCACTGAAAGTGCCCTCTGTTGCGCCGCGCTCGGAAGGCTCCGAGGCAGAACTGGCTTGCTGATGAGCACCCAGCATCCACAATACCTCTTGTCTAAAAAAAATGACACCTATTTATTTGATTAAAAGCTTAATAATCTTCCTAAGGCTTCTGGTTCCGAGCAAAGATTCATAATCCAACACTCTGTTTTCTGTCCAGCAGTGGAATAGGATGGCTAAAGCTAGATGCAGGCGTAGCTGGCTTATTTATTCCCTTAAGGCACTTTGCTTTACGTGCATTTCACTAAATAAAAACCTCTGTTTTATCCTCAGCACCTCGCAGCAGTGGAAGAAAGAAAGATCAAGTCCCTGGTCGCCCTTCTGGTGGAGACGCAGATGAAGAAGCTGGAGATAAAACTTCGTCATTTTGAGGAGCTGGAAACCATTATGGACAGAGAGAAGGAGGCAGTAAGTAGGAGGGTACTAATCTGAAACTCTGCATTAAATCAGTCACTGCCAAGATCTACGTATGTAACAGCTGGAAAACTAGCAGCTTCAGCTCTTCCTCACCTTTATGCAGGTGTCTCTGCCTCAGCTAGAATTCATAATTTCCCCCTGCAGTGGTGTTTGAGCTCACTCCTCTGTCCAGATCTTCCTTCTACAATAATCAGCAAACTGGTAGTATCCTAATCCTGACTCCTGTCATCTAAGCATGAATGTGGAGTTGGTCCTGAGCCTTTATGTAGGCCTTATCACATGAAGGATACCTGATGTACAAACGGCTTTTCCATGTAAAGAGAGCAAAATGGATGGAAACTTTACTTCCCTAAGGGAGGGGAAACCAGCTCTGTCTGCCTTTCCTTCCTGACCCGGTTTAGACTGGAGGTTTGGGTTTAAGCATGTAGTTCAGGTTTTGTTTGGAGGGTGTTCTCAGTAGCTCTTGGGAAAGTCCTCAGAGTGAGATGAGGTAGCAGAGGGATACGTGCTCAGGAGTAACAGCTTCTCGTTTGGTGACGACGAGGGATTTGCCTGAGCTGGAGAGAGCAGGAGCAGCTTCGGGGGAAGGGAAGGAAGCGATGTCAGGAGGTGGGAAAAGGCAGTTGCTCAAAGGGACTAGAAAAGTATCAAAATAGAACAAAGCTGAATTGACAAATCTAATGAAGTGCAACTGAGGAGGAAGAGGAGCTGGGCAAGCTGAGGAAGGAGGTTAGTTTCTGTCCTCAGTCTAGTGAGGCGTTAAGCCAGGGCACAGGTCTTGGTTGAGGTCTAGCCAGCTGAAGAAGGTGGTGACACTAAGAGCATCTGTACGATGCATCCCATGCAGGGCTGTGTTTATGCTGTGGCACTGGTAGTGATGCCTCACTGGAGGCTTGTGTATCCCTAAAATCAGGGTGTAAACATGGAAGAGATGCTGTCTCTGTCAGTGGCTGGATTACACATCAGTTACTAAATCTTCTTTCATGTAAAGTGCAGCAGGCGTTCCGAGAAGTGGTTTCTCTTCAACTACTGTAAAGATCACCAAAAATTTCATTTTTATCAGAGAGCAGTCAGGTTTTGTGATTTTTCTGTTGTGTAGCTTGCTCATTTTTCGTCAATAAGCAGTTAACTCTGGATGTATTGAAGGTACTGACTCCTAATTCTAGAGGCTTTCACATTTGCCCCACCATGCAGATTTGATGGAATTTACATCCTCACTTTGGCATTAATCGCCTTGATGGAGTTTGACAAACTGTGGTCTGTTGCTGTAGCACAATGTCAGCAAGAATTTCTAGATTGCTCAGCATCCCCAACCATTTCAGGGTGGTGTTTGCCTCTGACACTGATTGGCAGCTCAAGAAATGGACCTAACTATTTTGAAAAGGTTCTCTGTAGATTTCTTTCTTTGGGGGATATATTCTGTTAGTGACAGGTTGGTTTTTGCCTCATTTTGAGGCACATGACATTTTCCTTTTTAAAAATGTGCATGCAAATTTGTCCCTTGGCTTTCTGGTAGTTAAATTCAGTCTTTTCACCTGTCATTGTGGATATTTAGTGGAATAATTAAAGTAAAATTCCTTGGTGCCATTGCACACTATATATACGTCCTTATTTGCTGCACTGGCTTTTTCTTACAGTATAGTAAAGTAAAGGTAAAGCAATTCTAAGTATTGTTGAAAGAAATCTGTGCTGCAGACTGGAGGATGTTAGATTTTAGACAAAACACATTTACTTCAGCGTTTAAGCTCAAGTAATTTCGGTGCTGCCAACTCTATCTAAGCAGGGATCCCATCGGTAGGAGCCTTATTGCCCCAAAATTTATAATAGCACACGAATGCTGTCCTTACTCATTTCTGTTTGAGGAGGAGTTCATCTTCTTGCTGAAGATGAAGTTGTAGTACAACTATGGTTATTGTATGAGTAGACATTAAGTGCTTGTAGTAGTCCCTTCTAATTATGAATCGCTTTGCAACAGTGTGAAAGCACGCTGTTGCAAATTTGAAGATGGTCAAGGGTGTAGTATTCATGACTACATACCTAAAAATTTGACTGGTTTTGTGAATCAGGTTGTGTAGGGGTGTTTTGTGGCAGGCTGATGCGTGCTGGCCTTCATTAAGGTGCCTCACCTCGCTCTTGCCTGACACCCGCTGCACCTGTAACTGTGTTTTGGGAGTTGAAGAGTAAATGCAAATTACTGATAGGCTGCTCACCAGAAAACATGTTACTACCAGTTGTCTTAATGCTAATTTGGGGCTATGGCAGTAGGTTTTGGCCATGAACCTGCTTCTGAAATGATTACAAGTGCAAGATCCTAGTACAGAGCCACGTGTTTTGGGCTCTGCATCACTTTTTAAGACCAACTTAAACTGGGGCTCTGCATCAGTTTTAAGACCAGTGTCACAACTTGACTTTATTTGCCTTTTTCCTCTGTCCAACTGTCTTTTCTCATCCTGAGCAGAGAGAATGTGTAGAAGTGAAGTTTTCACTGGTTTTCCTAAGCACAAGGTGCATTTTCAGACACTGGATGCTCTTTAGGGATAATTTTTTTTTTTTTAACTGTAGCAGGATAGGGTACCAAGAAGGGAGCAAAGCAGGAATATAAAAGACTACAGAAAGGCTATAGAAAGTACGGTAAGCCTTCGTTTCGGGTCATTTGCAGTAATTCTTCCGTGAACCGCCTGCCACCTACGGAATCTGTTTCCACACATGCACAATTACACCATTGGGATACGTGTCTCTTCGCTTTATCAAGTTCTTCCCGCTAACCTCTCCGATTGGTCAAGGAAAAAGGAGTCAGGGCAGCATGAATAATCCCATTGTAGTC